TGGTCAACGCTGGCAAGGCGCGCTGTTTATAGTCAGGGCACAACAACAAGCACACCCCTGGCAACATGACAGACTCCCCCAACCTCACCGCAGCCCAGGCCAATGCCGCCACCCTTGAGCGCGAATTCGCCTGGCTTGACCGCGTGCTGCAGGCACGCCTTGCCCTGCACTTCGGCCAGCCGTCTGAAGTCACCGACATCCGTGACATTGAAGCGCCCGCACTGTCAGCCGACCCCTCCGCCTATGCCGCACGGGTTCGCGATCTTGAACTGGGTGCCAATGAACGCCTGGTGCTCATCACGGCGCTGGCACCCCACCTGCGGCCCGCTGCGCTCGACCTGCTGCGCATCAGAAACAACAACCTCGACACCCCCTTTGCAGAATTCGGCGGCATCCATTCATCTGCCGGGTTTCTGCCCACGCTTGAAACCGCCCTGTTTCTGGTCTCTGGCAGTGACCTTGCCCAACGCATGGCTGCGCGTTCGCTTCTCAACGAAGACAGCCGCCTGCTGCACAGCCGCACCCTGGCCTTGCAGCCCATCGGCCCGGGCGAGCCAGCAGGCAGCGCACGCCTGACCCTCACGCCCGAGGCGCTGCTGCGCCTGACGACCGGCGATGTGCGTAAGCCCGGCTTTGGCCCGAACTTCCCCGCGCAGCGCGTCACCACCGCTCTCGGCTGGAGCGACCTGGTGCTCAACGCCCACGCCATGGCCGACATCAACACCCTGCGCACCTGGCTGTCGCATTCAATCGAACTGCTGCAGGGCTGGCCGGCGCTGAAAGCCCTGCCGCCCGGCTACCGCGCACTGTTTACCGGCCCGCCCGGCACCGGCAAGACGCTGGCTGCCGCGCTGCTGGGTAAAGCCAGCGCTTGCGACGTCTACGCCATCGACATGGCCCTGCTGTGCGGCGCACCCACAGCCGACGCGCAGGCCAGCGTCGCCCATGTGCTGGCCGAGGCCGAACACCGGCGGTGGATTGTTCTGGTCACCGGCGCAGACGCGGCGGGCAGCCCGCTGTTTGACGCGCTGTGGCCGCTGCTTGAGCGTTTTCCCGGTCTGCTGCTGCTTGAAACCCGGGGCGGGCCCGAGGGGCTGGCCCAGCGCAGCGCACTGGCGGGCCGCATTCATCTCCAGGTCGACTTCCCCATGCCCGACGCCGAAGATCGCCTGCGCCTGTGGCAACAGCTGCTGGGCCAGCAGCCCCAGCGGCTGGCACCCGATGTGTCATTAACCGCTGCCTCCTTGCAAGCCTTGGCCGAAAGCCACCTGCTGTCTGGCGGCACCATGACCCATGTGCTGCGCCACGCGGTGCTGGCCGCCATGCAGTCCGATCGGGGAAGCATCACGCTGGCAGACCTCTCAGCCGCCGTCACCAAGCTGGCTTAGCCAAAGTTTGCCGTATACATTAAGTTTTTAACGTACACGTTAAAATTCACCAAAAAGTTAATATAGGAGTTAACTTTTTTAGGGGCAGACGGCCTCCAGCCCTGAAAAAGTCCCAAAAACCACCTGAAAACGCCTAAAAAAGGCCATTTTTAGAGGTGAAAACGGCTGCAGGCCAATAGATACGAGCGTGAGCAGCTATCAAAATAATAGTACCCGGCGCGCCATTCGCCTCGGGTCCCTTAAGGTTGGATGGTCCCCACCACCTTCAGGCTGCCATCCGCCGCCGGCCGCAGCACCACGCCCTGCGCTGACGCCGGGTACACACCCGTCAACGCCGTGATGTTGACCTGGTGCGACACCACCACCAGCGTGCCCGGGCCTCGCCAGCGCGACAGCAGGGCCCGCGCCTGCGCCGTCTGCGCGTCAGTCACCGCGCCTGACGCGGTGAATGTCGAGTTGAACGCCGGCTCGTCTTTCACCGCATCGCCAAAAGCAAGCCGCGCCGTCTCACGCGTGCGGCACCACTGCGAGGTGACCACCGCACCGACGTCAATCTTGCGGCTGCGAAACTGCTCACCCAGCCGGCGCGCCTCTGCCCTGCCCTTGTCGTCGAGGTTGCGCTGGGTGGGGCAGGCGTCCAGCTTGAAACCCGCCGGGTCGCCAATGCCCGGTGCCGTCGCGTGGCGGAAGAGCACGATGGCACCCGGCTGCTGCAGGTCGGCCCAGGCATCAGCGGCAGATGCTGACAAGGCCAGGAGCGACAGCCCCAGCGCAGTGATGGCGCGAATGACGGGGAAGAGGTTTTTCATGCCTGACAGGCTAACAAAAAGCCAGTGGTCCGGCGGGTTGCCGGGTTTCTGCAGTGATTGCTTGACTAGG